GCTGAGGTGGGAGAATCGCTTGAGCCCAGGTGTTCAAGACTGCAGTGAGCTATGATGGCACCACTGCACTTCAGCCTGGGAGACAGAGCAAGACCCTGTCTCTAAAACAAAATGAAAAAAGGGAATGGACTTCTGCGTCTTCTGCCATAAAATCTCTTACACTAGTTTGACAAAGCAGCAGCAACAAGAAAAGTATATGGGCCAGCCCTCAGTGTGCCCATTTTTATTAGCAGCTTCGCTTGACGATGGCAGGAGGCACAGGGCCAAGAATAGAACCATGGAAGGCTGTGGGGAACAGAAGAATGAGGCCAGAGGTTCACATTCGGTTGTGGTCACCTTGCCAAAACTGAGCTATCTTGTATTAATTAGCCCATCAGATGAGGTGGTCAGGTATCCGCATTGTAAGTTTGTAGAATTGTAAAACTGGATTTCATCAAACCCTGTTCTTCACGATATTCAGATGATAAAGCATGAGTACGTATATTGTTCTGTCCTGTTTATCCTCTGCATGCCTGTAAAGCTGAAAACATCACTCCATGCAAATATGCAAAAGGACACATTATTTAAATAGCACCCATATCAAGGGATTCCATTTCTAAAGCTGGGCCATGGACAATAACTTTTTTCCTATATTGTGTGCCCTTAGGTTAAGTTCTAGTTTAAGATTACAAGGCATGGTTATCATTTTCATTTTAACTTCACCATACAGAGAAAGTCAAATCATAACAATTTATAGCCTAAGCTAGATTTGCCTTTATTCTTCTTGCATTAAACAAACTGGTTTTTCTTTCTCCTTTACTGAACAAGAGACCATTTGTAAATTTTCCAGACACTTCAGAGTGAACCTCTCTCCATTTTAACTTCAGCTTGTTAGCTTTCATAGAATCCTTTATGGTAACTTCCCCAAAGTAATATGATACTTACTTGATGTGACAAAAAGCATTCATCTGTTTCTGCTGTTGCTTTGAAAATATTATTTCTGCACTGAACCACATCAGGTATCTGTCTTTGTTTTGTTTTTGTTTTGTTTTGTTTTTTTGAGATGGAGTCTCACCCTTATCGCACAGGCTGGAGTGCAGTGGCATGATCTCGGCTAATTGCAACCTCCACTTCCCAGGTTCAAGCAATTCTCCTGCCTCAGCCTCCTGAGTAGCTGGGACTACAGGCACATGCCCATCATGCCCAGCTAATTTTTATATTTTTAGTAGAGGCGGGGTTTCACCATTTTGGCCAGGCTGGTCTCGAACTCCTGACCTCAAGTGATCCAGCCACCTTGGCCTCCCAAAGTGCTGGGATTACAGACGTGAGCCACCGCGCCCAGCCAGGTATCTGTTTTTTAAAATGATTTCCTTTTCTTCGTGTAGTCACCTGTAACCCTATGTATTAGACATCCAACCATAGTAATAGGACCAGGGAGGCTTCAGTTTGGTTGGGGATAGGGCATATGCTTAGTATTTCTGCTTTCTCCCCTCTTTAACTCAGGATTACTGTGCCAGTAAATTTGGAGTTGTGGGTTTTCATGAATCCCTGAGCCATGAACTAAAGGCTGCTGAAAAGGATGGAATTAAAACAACTTTGGTTTGCCCTTATCTTGTAGACACTGGCATGTTCAGAGGCTGCCGAATCAGGTCAGTGAGAACCTATATTATTACTGATAAAAAGAATAATATTGGGAGAATATGTGGAATTGGACTTTCAAACATAGCCCTGTATTTTAACTATCATTTGACAATCTGTGGCTTTCATTGGTCAAGATTAAGTTTGTAAAATTGGTGTATAAGATTGGCAAGGGAGAGACTGGTGCCACACTGATACTAATTTGCAGAAATTAATCCAGAATCATCAGATAGGAAATGGCTTCTCTGTAAAGAGAAAACATAGATATCCAGTCTTTTCCTTAGAAGCTCATCTTTTGGAGTTGTTTCTTTAATATTGGTATTGGTAAATAGGGATTCCAGAAGAAAATTCCTTCATGTGACTTGGGTCTGGATGTGAAACAATGTCACTGTCACAGAGATTAACTTGCCTTTCTTCTGAAAAGACCATTGAATATTACACTCCAGATTTGGAAACGTCCTTTTTGCAGCAAGCGTATGTAACTAGATTCACTCTGGCAGAATGAGAAGAACCATTTAGATGTACTGAAAAATGAAATAAAATACCCACACACATAGAAAGGAGGCATGTGGGAATATAAATGTCAAGTTACATCTGACTTGAGCTCAGCAGAATAAACAAAACCGTGAATCATTAAGAGGATGCTTGTGAAGACATGCTTACTTTGAAATCTTTGCTTGGGTGAATTTGAAAGGCAAAGGAAGATAACCAAACCAGTTCCCTGTTGGTTGGGGGCCATTCTTAACGTGTACTGAACTGAACAAGCAGCAAAATAGGTGGAAGGTGATTTGAATCACTCCAAAGTCAGGGTGACTCCAAGTCTGAACTGGAAAATGGACTCCAGCTCTGCCTCTTATCCCACACACGTATGTGTTTGTGTGAACATGTGTGTGTGTGTTGGTGGTTTGTTTTGTTTTGTTTTGTTTTCCTCTTATGTACTTGGGAGGCAGTTGCTGAGGGTCTTGCGGAGCTCTGTTTCCTCCAGTGTAGCATAGCAGCAGGTGGAGGGGTCCAAAGCTATGGTGGCAAAATGAAGAATGAAAGGAATAAATTGCACACCGTCATTTCAACATGTAACCTAGTGAATTAAACTGAAGGTAGGATGTCTATATGCGCTTCATTTCAGGGGCCCCTAGAGAATATACCTTAGCTTTCCCTCTTCCAGCATCCTGGAAAGTAGATACCTGGCCCTCCTTTCACTTTGAAAGCTTACCCCCTCATTTTGACTACACCTAATGCTAAAAGCTTGGCATCTTGCTTGGGATTAGTGTTTGCTATGCCAAACACCCTCTCCTCTTTCTATTGAAAGCAAAACATAGGAAAATAATTTGAAATACATTTTAAGGCATCTTAAAAACATGACTTTTTCATCTTATGGAAAAGCAGACCAATTTTACTTTTTTTCCCCCAACTTGTTTTCTAGACTGTGCCAGTAAAATGTGTTCATAGTAGGAAAATTTGGAAAATACAGAAAAGCACTATGAAGAAAACAAAATGTACCCAAAATCCCATCACTCAGATAACGTCACTGTTAATGTTTTGATATGTATTTCCAGTCTTTTCTATTGTGTTAATTCTTCATTTTGTTTTGGAATAAATAACTTTCAGGAAAGAAATTGAGCCTTTTCTGCCACCTCTGAAGCCTGATTACTGTGTGAAGCAGGCCATGAAGGCCATCCTCACTGACCAGCCCATGATCTGCACCCCTCGCCTCATGTACATCGTGACCTTCATGAAGAGGTAACTGGGAGGGTTCCCTCACTGACCAGGTCTCTCCATGCCTGCCCGATGTCTTAGTTGAAACTTCAAGTTTGCTAACAGCTGTGACTTTCCTTTTTCAGCATCCTCCCATTTGAAGCAGTTGTGTGCATGTATCGGTTCCTAGGAGCGGACAAGTGTATGTACCCCTTTATTGCTCAAAGAAAGCAAGCCACAAACAATAATGAAGCAAAAAATGGAATCTAAGAATCTTTTTGTATGGAATATTACTTCTATCAGAAGATGATCCAGATGTTTCAGTCCAATGCACATCAGCATTGCTGACATTTTATGGATTCTAAACTTGTGTTGTTTCTTTTTTTAATCAACTTTTTTAAAAAATAAAGTGTAAATTAACCGACTAGAGTACTTGGAAAATGTGATCAGTAAAAGTGAACTTAGGTTGTTGCCAGCAGGGTCCTTTTAGGCAGAACCCAAAAACCAGTCAAATCTTTAGAGAAGCACTGTGTGACATCTTCAGGTTACCATTATTTTTTTAATGAGCAGGAAGTCTAGAAATGATAACTAGACTGTATATTTCATGTGTGTGATTTTTCAGAATTCCCATAGAGTTTACTCATTCTTGTTATTAAACTCCAGCCAGTTGACATCTTCGCAATTTCAAGGACTGATAGTGCTATATTTTCTCATGTTTTCTAAGTTTCCGTTTTGCAAGGCCTAGGTGGCTTTTTCTTGGTGTTTGTATGTTTAGCTCTTTTGAAAAGGAATTTTGAAATCTGCATCAACTGAAGTAAATGATATCTGAGTATTACAGTAAAGGTGACCAAGTCTCTTTCTTAAAGTCACAATGACTAAAGTATTAGCTGAATTTTTTTTTTTTTTTTTTTTTTTGAGACAGAGTCTCGCTCTGTACCAGGCTAGAGTGCAGTAGCACAATCTCGGCTCACTGCAGTCTCTGCCTCACGGGTTCAAGTGATTCTCCTGCCTCAGCCTCCCAAGTAGCTGGGACTACAAGCACGCGCCACCATGCCCAGCTAATTTTTATATTTTTAGTAGAGATGGGGTTTCACCATGTTGGTCACGATTGTCTCCATCTCTTGACATCGTGATCCGCCCTCCTCAGCCCCCCAAAGTGCTGGGATTAAAGGCATGAGCCACTGCGCCCAGCCTTGAATTTTTAATTTTATCTCTGAAATACTTCATTAAGTGTCTGGAGACCTAATTATCCTAAAAGATCATCCATTTTCTACCTATGAATTTTGCTGCATACAGAAAGTGCCCTTCCCTCAGGAAGTTGCTGTGTTTCGTTTCTTTGGATGGACTCTTACCTAGAATACATAGCAGCTCTGCAAAGAAACAGTTTTTTAAAATGGGAACTTCTACATTGAAAAGTCCCCATTTTTGTGCCAACTATAATGAGTGAGAGGGAGAAATCTTATTCTATGGCATATGTATGGAAAGGTGTAAAGATTCTTTTGAAAGTTTTATTCATGTTGTAGAACAGCAAATGACATTTTTACAGTATTTTTTTGTAAAGCAAACTATTTTGTGCCTTGAATTTGGTATATGTGTATTAGTGAAACATTGTAAAAGTGAACTTCTACCTCTGTATCTAAATGTATACCATCCACTTGTAAATTACTATAAACTATTATGTGATTGCCTTTTTTTTTTTTTTTTTTTTTTTTAGAATGTCTTGTTTAAATAGCGGCCAATGTTTAAGGCTATTAAAATAAGCCAACTTTTACTAATTGGGGAGTTTTATAAATGACTGATTAAATTTAAAGAATTAACTTACATGCAACTGTGTGATTATTAGTTATCAGCAGTGTTGTAAGGAAAATTACTGTGTTCTTTTTTAATGATCATTATCCCACTTTAGGTAAAGAAAAATGTTGGAATGGAATAGTGTTGGGAAACAGACATTAACAACCTAGGGTGCCTGCACTCAAATAGCCAATGTTACCGTCCCTAGATTAGATACTTGATTAAGGGCTTGTTCGTACCAAAAGTGGGGAAACAATCCATGACCTGTGTTTTAGTTTGGCTGCACCACAGATCAAATCTGCACTGTGTCTACATAGGAAAAGGTCCTGCTGTGTGCTAATGTTCCCAGTGCAGGACTTGAGGAAGAGCTCTGTTGTATGTTTCCATTTCTCTTTATAAAAGATAACCAAATCTTGTGGCCTTTATAACAATGGAAGCACTGGCTGCCTCTTAATTTTCAATCATGGACCTAAATAAGTACTCTGAAGTAGTCTCAGCAGTGCCAGGTGGGGACAGATATACTCAGAGGTTATCCAGGTCTGCCTCCCAGCAAGCCTGGAGTACAACAAACCCTCGTAGAGAAATCTGTTGTAATTTAACAACCCACTTATCCACCTTAAAACTGAGGAAAGTCTTCTTTACATCTAATTTTATTCTTGTGTGTTGTAACTTAAACCTTTTTCTATTTTTGTTTATTATTGCCCTTACAAGGGTGTCTTACTCCAAGTTCAATAAACCTAATTCATTTAACTTTTTTGTAGAAGTCTTTCATTCTCATGGCCCAGCCCAGTTCAGTCACTTCTGTGGCTCTTCCTTGAATGTTGTCCAAATTCTCCCTCCCATCTTCAGCTGTGGAGTTTGGAAAGGGATACAGTTAATGCAGGTTTAGAACTATGGAATTCCTACAAGCTGCAGTTCTTCATCCCAATATCATGGTCTTACTAATGCTACATTGCTGATTGTGTGTGTGATTGTTTCTAAACATGAAATCTCTTCTAGACAAGTCTGCCTGTTTGTGTTGATCACTTACGTAATTGCCAAGGTTGCTTTTCTGGCTGGTTATTTATCTACACCTACCCCCACCCCTTAACATGAATGCTGACTCTGAATATATTCTCTTTCTTGTCATCTGGCCCATTCATATGGGCGTTCAGGGCCACTGGACTCAAGGCTGATCCCCTAAGGAGCACCACCCCCACCTCATACTGGCACTCTCCCTTTCTCTAACCTTTCAACCAATTTAATGATAATTACATTGAGTGGGACCCAGGACTCCAAAGTTTTGAAGCCAGCAAAGATAAATTCCAACTATTGTTTCCCCCTTGATCTACCAGGTCTGCTGCTCTGTCACGAAAGATTAGCCTGACAGGATTGAGCTACGTAAAGCCAGGCTGGGTGTGGGGGGGTGTGTGTGTGTGTGTGTGGTGTGCATGTATGTGTTTGGTATCCTGTTTCCTTAGAAGGCTATAGCTTTCAAATTTTCTCAAAATGTTTTCCAACTGGCAGAAACAATTCTAAATTGACGTTGACCTGAATCTTGGAAATTTGCTTTTGCCTCCAACGAAGTATAAAATCAGTAGGGGTTGGGGGAACAGGGTCATTCTTTCTATGCCAAATGTATTGCCTGTGCCTGAATCAGAAGAGTAGGGAAAGCAAGGATGTAATGGTTCCGAAGTGGTGAGATGTGGGCCCTGGGCGTGCGTAGTCAGCATTTGCACACCAGGCATCTGCTAGGCCGAAGCGCCCATCCCAGGGACTCAAGGAGCCTGCAGGTAACTCACAAGTATACACATATGTATCTGTGTGCACATGCCACAAATGAAGCCCCAGAGTATGATGACATCTCATCTCAGTACAGAGAGAAAGGTGGCCTGGAAGGTTGGTGATGCAGTGGATGAATTTGGAAATGGGAGTTTGGGGATTCCAGGGAACAGATTCTCCGGAAAGGCCCAAAGATAAAAAAAATTAGATTATACTCATTATGACTGAAGCATAGAACATGGGAAGAGAATGACGTGCATTCCCTAAGGAGATCCCATCTTGAGAATGGCCTTCATTCCAGGCTGAGGAATGGACCCTTCATTTGATAGGGAAGAGAGAAGCCCTAGAAAGTTTTTTTTAGCAGGAAAGTAACCGGAGCAGAGCTGTGAGTTAATAGGATCAATGAAGCCGCTGTGAAGAATTTCAAGACACAAGAAGCAGGGAGCAGTGAGGAGGGCAGCTATTGCAGTAGTCCACGGGGAGGTGGTAGGAATGGGCCCACAAGAGGGGGGGACAGGGAATGGAGGGAGAAACCCAGGCTGAGCAACTCTTCCCACAGGAGGTTGAACTTGCAAGGCCAGGTGACTAAAGATAGCTTATCACTCGAGATGAGCCAAGTGGTTTTAAGTGGGAAGAACAGAATTCACCAACAGTGAATCTGATTTAGAAATGTTGCATTTGAGATGCTGGGTGACAATAGCTGGCGGACAGGCGGATATTAACTCTGGTCCTCAGGAAACAGGTTGGTACTGGGATCCAGAAGTCATCTACATAGAGGCTGTGAAGTGAACAAACCTGGGAGGGGGAAAGCACAGAATGAGTGGAGATCCAAGGACCCAGCTTGGGGAGTGTGGGGGAGCAGCAGCAGAAGGTGTAAAAGGTGACGGAGTGAAGTTAAGAAGGGAACTTCCTCCTCCCAAGGAGAAACCAGACTAGAAACAATTATCTTCTCTGCTTGGACCTAATCCCCAGGCTGAGTCACACTTGAGAAACCTCAGTCTGGCCCAAGAAAAAGAGTCTGTGTGGCCAGCCCTGGGGCAGAGGTCCAAAAGGTGAAGGGCAGTGTTAACAGATAGCACATGGAGGCTTCGACCGTGCACTCAGGTTTCTAGTAACTGAATCCATTGTTAAAAGAACCAAAGGAAAATTTCTTCCTAAGTGAACCCTGGAAACTGTTGTTCTTTGGCGATTTTCTTTGCTTGGCCTCAGAAGCATGACTCGCTTAAATGCGCAGGCAATGTTTCATCAGAACCCTGGGGAAAAACAAAATGCACTTCCAGTATCACCAGATGGATACATGTTAGTGCAAATGAACTATTTTTATGTGCCAAAAAGATGAGACAGGACCAGCTTCTATCAGGGTGCTGAAAAAGACGGGTTCCTATCTGGTCCTTGAAGCACTAAACTCACGGCGGGCCAAGAATCTTTCAGGCAGGTCCTGGATCAAGGTGAACATGCAGTGACTCCCAGCTTTCCCAGGAAATGTCACGGCAGAGCAGTGTGGAACCACAGTCTTGCTACTGTTTATTACGGTGCTTTCTGAGGATTGCAGTTCCTACATTACAATAGCTATACCAAAGAATTTACACATTTCACAACTCATCTATTATTTGGGGGAAAGCACTGACAACACACAGCCACACAGGCCAGAGAATCCTGCTCATTGAGTAATTATTTCTCATTTAACTTGCTCCGTTGCTGTAGAGAACTTACACAATGTCTTCCAGGAGCTCCTCACAGGCTTTTGAGCTGTGACTGTTGAAACCTTTCTTACCGCTAGCAAAATGCAAGAGAATAGATTAGCAAGAAAAACAAAGCATCTTCAGCCCAGATTCTAAGTTTGAGGTTTTCCTGTCAAGGTGATAGAAACCATGCTGCAGGGAGAAATGTGTGTGCATAGCAGCTATGAAGAATGCCCCTCTCCTTGTCCATACCTCATGGGTGGTCCACCTGAATGCCACTCAGCAGGCATCCCCTCCCCCTAGGGAGGAACCCGAGCCTGGCTCCTCCACTCCACCCTCTGCTAGCAGGTGGCCATCTCCTGGCCAGCCCAGCTCATCGAGGGCCTGAGTGGTCCAGGAGGCTAATGAGCAGATGGGAGTCCTGCCTGGACACAGGCATACTTACGTATGTTGACAGCACAGTATCCAGCAACCACAGAGTTCCTGCTTAAGAGCTCAGTGTTGTGGATTGGATCATGTCCCCTCAAAAGATATGTTGAAATCCTAACCCCTAGTCCCTGCAAATGTGTCCTTATTTGGAAATAGGGTATTTGCAGATATAATCAAGATGAGATCATTTTGGCTAGGCTCAGTGGCTCATGCCTGTAATCCCAGCACTTTGGGAGGCTGAGGTGGGAGGATCACTTGAGTCCAGGAGTTCGAGACCAGCCTGGATGACATAGTGAGACCCCCATGTCTACAACAAATGAGAAAATCAGCTGGGTGTGGTGGTGCACACCTGTCATCCGAAGAATTGCTTAAGCCCAGGAGTCTGAGGTTGCAGTGAGCCGTGATTATGCCACTGCACTCCAGCATGGGTGACAGAGGGAGGCCCTGTCTCAACAATGAAAAAAGATGAGGTCATTTTGGATTAGAATAAGCCATCCATAAGAGACACAGACATACACACAGAGAACATGCCATGTAACAATAGGCAGAGATCGGACTGATGTAGCTGCAAGCCATGGAATGCCAAGGAATTGTATCAAGGACCAGCAGCTAGAAAAGAGGCATGCAGCAGACCCTTCCTCAGTGCCTCCAAAAAGGAACCAACCCTGCTGACACCTTGATTTCAGACGCATAGCCTCTAGAACTGTGAGAGCATAGTTTTCTGTTATTTTAAGTATCACCGGGTTTGTGATGCTTTGGTACAGCAGCCCTAGCAAATGAATACACTCAAGGTTTGTTGTCAAACAGACTGAGTGCAAGTCCAGCTCTGCATCTCCCTAGCCATGGATCCCAGGTCTTTGTCTTAACCCTCATAAGTCTCAGTCTTCTCATGGGTACACTGGGAATAACAGCAGTACCTATATCAAGAGCATCGTGAGGAATGTGGGAGGACACAGGTAAAGCACTTAGGACTGTGCCTACTACACCTTGGAGGTGTGCAATAGATTGCATTAGGTTGAATCATATGAAATTGCTGTGACTGAACTCTTTTGACCTACAAAAAAGGCACTTCTATCTCGTTCAACTAACAGTGATGATGGGGGATAGATAGGGACAGTACTTAGATCAGAGTCTCTATTTATAGTACTGTTTTGTGTTTCTAACAATTCCCACTTCCTGACACCCACTGGATGTCCTACAGTTCAGTCCAATTCTGACACTCCCCAGAGTTAGTGCAGGTCCCACAGGTTAAGGTCTTGATCCCACAAGACTGCCTCCACTTCAGACACCAGCCAGAGAATCGCAAATGGGGTCCCCAGCCTACCCATGCTTCTGCCCAGCTGACTACAAATTCAGGGGTTCCCAAGACCTCTGCTCAGGTTTGACAATTCACTAGAATGATCCAGAACTCAGGAAAACACTATGCAGTCCTTAATTACAGTTTATTAGAAAGGGTGGCACAGGCACAGCCAGACGGAAGTGATGCACAGAGCAAGCCATGTGGGAAGGGCACAGGCTTCCCATGCCTTCCCCAGGAGCCACCCTCCCAGCACCTCCATGTGTTCACCAACCCCGAAGTTCTCCAAACCTACTTGGTAAAGAGTTTTTACTGAAGTTTTATTATGTAGACGTGATTGATCAAACCATTGGCCACTGGTGAATCAATTCAGCCTCTACCCCTTTTTCTCTCCCCAGAAGTGACAGGGTTTGAAACTTCAACTCCTCCCTTGAAACTCTTAAGGGCCCACCCTGCCCACCTCATTAGCATAGACTCAGGTAGGATGGAAAGAGGCTGGTTATGAATAACAAAAGACACTCCTGTCACTCTGGAAGTTCCAAGGGTTTTAGGAACTCTGTGCCAGAAACTAGGGACAAAGACCAAACATAGTCTTCACTCTACCGCAAGTACCTAGCATGTTGCAATTAGTTATTGGTACATCTGAAGACAATGTCCTGTTCTATCGATCTCGGTAGTCTTAGTTCCAACACCTCACACAGACCCAAGCACACAGTAGATGCTCAATAAATGTTGATCTTCATGGCTCTTTGTGCTCTTCAAATACTTGGTGGTCTGTGAAATAGGAATACCCAAGAAAGCGGCTTTCCCAAGTCTGTGCACTAAAGAATTTTTTTTTCCTGCCCTGTTACTTCTAAACGAGCTATGAGGACATAGGAATTCACTACTTACATGCTCTTTGAGGCTTTGCTTTGAGCAACCTCACCTGTATGCCAGAGGTTACCGAAAGCCAGAGAAGTCTGTAAGGCAATCGCACAGATGCTACTTCTACCAAAATTAAACAAGCCCTCAGAATATCTGGCCAGTCTTGGAAAGTTCAGAGAGTAAAACAAGTTAGCCAGGTTCTGAACAGGACAAACATTGAGGCAGATGCAAACAGAGAGAACTTCCATCTGACCCCTATAAACACCGTTTTTTTCTGGCTTGCAGTGACAATGGAAAGCTTATCCTTTCAGGGAGGAAGAAAAAAAAAGAATAAATAGTGGTCTGTATTCTCCAGAAGCCACCTTTATTTTCTGCCCTTTTCTCTGACTTTGGCGATGGCTTCGCATTGTCAGATTTCCTCAGACTCACTGCAGTACGCTGAGGGGGTCTTTGAATCACCCCCAGAAGTGGACCTGAGATGCTTTTCACACCACCACTCTGGGAGCCCAATCCACTGCCCCGCGCGCTCCTGAAGCGGAGGCTCTTGAGGACTGAGAGCCGGGAAATGCAGAATCTGGCCAGGGAGTGAAGAAATGAATAGGCTGTCAGGGAAGGAAGTAGATGGAGCAAAAGCTGCAGCCCCGGGGGAGATTCCCTAACCACAGTTCCTCCAGCTGCTCCAACTTCCTGCTTCACCGCCGCCTGGAGTCTGTCCCTGAAGACCTTCCCACAGCCAGCTGAAAGCCCAGGAACCATTTCTCCTTACCTGCTACAGAGGCCATAGGGAACTGAGCACATTCTGGAGAAGAGGGATCCGCCAGATTTCCCTCTCTGGGACTGGGCTTTTGGGAATGAGTTTCACTTGTACCTCAAGGTTTTAGCTCAGTGAGCCACGCGTAAGAAATGTGTGCAATGTGGGTGCTTCTGGCTGATTCTTCATGAGGAAATGTCAGTTTGAAATGATTTATCTTAGAAGGGAAGAAGTATTTTATGTATGAGAAAAAGAATTTAAGTAACTTCAGAGATCAGTTAAATGTCAGCTTAAAAGGAAAAAGAGAGGTTCTGGTGGACTAGAGAGAAAAAAGCACAAAATTGCAGGGTTCACCAGGCCAGTTTGCTTTGCTTTCCCTGGCAGTGGAGGCTTGCAGGCTGCAGTTGATTTCTTTATCAGCCTTGGGATTTCTAGTGTTTTTTCATTGTATCAGGCCGCTAAAATTAGATCCATTTGCAATCAAAATTATTGACATACTGGAAATGTTGGGAAGCAGAAAGTTGTAAGAGACGCAGAGAAGAAAACGGTCTATATTTCCAACTTTAAGTGAAACCTATTTAGAGAACACACTCCACTCTTACAAGAGCTATTTAAAAGACTAGAACCCCTGGGTACTTTTCGAGGGAATGTAAGATGGTGCCGCCGCTGTAAAAAATAGTATGGCAGTTCCTCAAAAAATTAAACCTTGGAAGTGCCATATGATTTAGCAATTCCACTTCTGTGTATATATCCAAGGGATTGCAAGCAGAGTCTTGAAGAGATCATTCATACACCCATCTTTATAGCAACACTATTCACAGTAACTAAAAGGTGGAACCACCACATAGATCCACTGGTGCATGAACGGCTTAAACAAGATATGTCATACACTTACTGTGAAATATTATTCACCCTTAAAAAAGGACATTCTTACACATACCACAACAAGGATGAACCTTGAGGAGATTATACTAAGTGAAATAAACCAGTCATAAAAGGGTATCATGAGATTCCACTTACATGAAGTACTTAGAGTAGTCAAAATCACAGACACAGAAAGTAGAATGGTTGTTGCCAAGAACGGGTGGGAAAGGGGGAATGGGGAGCTATTGTTTAATGGGTACAAAGTTTCAGCTTTGCAAGATGAAAAAATTCTGGAGATTGGTTGCACAACAGTGTAAATATACTTAACTCTGCGGAGCTATACACTTTAAAATGATCCAGATGGTATATTTTATGTTATGTGTATTTTACTGCAGTTTTTCTTTTTTTAAGAAAAGACTAGAATGACCTGGCCTTTGGAGTCACTATTGAGAAGACAGCTTTCCATCTATAAGTAGCTGCAGCAGATGGTCTCTTAACTCTATGTCATGCTTGTCTATGAAAAAAGAGGATAGATCACAGAACAAACACTATTAGCTGATGCCACTTGCTGGGGACTGAAAACCCAAAGGGGGCCAGGACACAGAAGTCCCCTGTTCTCAGGGCACCAAAGGCCAAAATATTTAGATGAAATAATTTCTCTATGAACAGTACAAAGACTTTTGCTATTTGTACATCCTAAGTCATCTAGCAATGTCTTCCCTGGCTTCCATGGTTTCTCCAGCTCCCCTGACCACTCCTAGGCTGCAACTGTTACAGGCAGTTAGACAGGCATGAGCAGACCAGGAGAGGGCCCTCCCCCACCCCCTAGGAATGCCGAGTGATGGTTTCAGAATTATTGCTTTGCCTCTGTAAAAGTGATAAACTGGCAGCCGGGGCTAGGGAGAGGCCATTTCCTGATGGTCCACACTTATTGCACTAAAGTGTTAACTGAATGCAGCTGCCAGGGAGAAGCAACTTCCTGGGCATGTGCATTAAGGGACAAAATGGCAGCGTATGACCTTCTAGGGCATTCCACTGGAAAAGGGAAGAATGCCTCAGATGGGCATGTGTACAACTTCCTAAACACACTGCGCATGCTCACTTTCCAAGGGTAAGGAGGGCACTGCGCATGTGGGCAGCCCACTCTAAGGGAAGAAGTATGGGAAAGGGGCCAGCCTATCAAGTCCTAGGATCAAGGTTAAATATCGCACTTGACCTCTGTGTCCCGCTTGGGTCTCTTCCAAGTGTATTTTCCTTTCTTTCTTGTTCTAAAGCCATTTTAAATAAACTTCCACTCCTACTCTGAAACTTGCCTCAGTCTCCTTTTCTGCCTTATCCCCTCAGTCGAATTATTTCTTCTGAGGAGTTAAGAGTTGAGGTTACTGCAGACCTGTGTGGATTCACTGCTGGTAACTCTCTTCCACTGGTAACACACCCAGACATAAGGTCAAGCATGTACAATGGGCTATAAGGCACAATTTCCCAAGTGTGTCACTTGGAGCATTGGTATCATGAGATACTAATAGAAAAGCACTCCATAGGCCAGGCACCATGGCTCACACCTGTAATCCCAGCACTTTGGGAGGCTCAGGTGGGTGGATCACCTGAGGTCAGGAGTTCGAGACCAACCTGGTCAACATGGTGAAACCCCGTCTCTACTAAAAATACAAAAATTAGCCAGGCGTGGTGGTGCACACCTGTAATCCCAGCTACTTGGGAGGCTGAGGTAGGAGAATCACTTGAACCTGGGAGGCGGAGGTCGCAAAGAGCTGAGATCACACCATTGCATTCCAGCCTGGACGACAGAGCGAGACTCTGTATCAGAAAAAGAGAAGACAAGCACTCCATGGCCAAAGACTGTTCCCAGTCGCACCGTGAACACCCCTCAGTGCTGAGGGGCACTCGTGCAGAGGCTAAAGTAACTGCATCTTGGGTGCTGATCCGCCATGTTGACTTCTAATTAACCCCTGTTCCAGGAATACCTCTAAGGTTTCTATTGTGTCTAGAGTTCCTTGTGTAAGAGCATGTACTTACTGTAAATCCTGCCCTTAGGTCAAAACAACCTTAACCATAAATCCTGCCCTTGGGCAGATTCGCATGGCACTCTTGCTTTTCCCTGAGGTGTCAGCTTCAGCTTCTTTTTCTATGGTATATATAGGTTTTGAGTTTGAGAGGTAATGCCAAGCAGATCCACCATCTTGTCACAGACATGGTTTCTGTTTCTAAGTCTTTATTAAATGTTTCCTTCTGAGAAATGGATATGTCAGCCTCGTACTTGGGCCTCTCAGTTTCCTCAGACTTTGAGGTAGGTTTGCTTAGACCTGCTCACTGGAACAACACCGCGCTAAGCAACCCTGGGAATGCAGCTTTTATACTTCCTGGGAATGCAGCTTTTATACTTCCTGGGAATGCAGCTTTTATACTTCCTGGTGTGTTTGATCCTGGCTGGATTGGGTAGCCTTTTGGAGTCAGGGTGAAATCTTGCTTTCCTTCCTCCCCTTGGAGTGCATGGTACCCAGTAGGTATCCAGGGCACATGAGCTATTGTCCTCCACGCCTGTCTTCCTGCCAAGATAAGGAAGGAATTTACCCAGTTGGAAATTAGCTCTCTGACTGGCCTGGGGTGGAAAGTAATGAAGCCGGGCTGGCTTTTTCCACAAGTTTTCTGGTCCTTCACCTCTGTGGGTGAAGATGTGTAGATGACCTGAGGTTTGACAAAGAGCCGTGAGGCTGAAGCACTGCTGGGGAACCGACAGTGCAAAGGTAGCTAGCAGAGCCAGCTGTGGCTCCAGAGAAGCTGAGCAGAGATCCCGGAGACAGGGAGTGACGCCACACCAACCATTCTAGGCCTTGCAAACCAGCCCAGCTATTAATGCAGACACTCCCTAGTAAGAAACAGGACACCTCTGGGCTCCAAGGTCTCTGGGCCACCTTTTCTTGGGCATACTCATATACTTGAGTATAACAGCCCAATCACAGTTCAGTACAACCCACTTGTTGCTACATCTACAGGCAATTCTTGGCACCTTGCTACTCACGATCCAGGCACTTATGGTCATCAAGCAAAACTTCCCGTTCATTTTTTTTCTTTTTGGTAGTTTTACCTTGTCTTTTATTTACTTTTTTTTTTTTTTACAAACAGGGTCTTGCTTTGTTGCCCAGGCTGGAGGGCAGTGGTCATTCATAGGCACCACTACAGTGCACACTGCAGCCTCAAACTCCTGTTCTCAAGCAATCCGCTCACCTCAGCCTCCTGAGTAGCTGGAGCTACAGACTACAGACTCACCCGTCTCCCTGTCAATTTATTTATTTATTATTATTATTATTTTTTTAGACAGAGTCTTGCTCTGTCACCCAGGATGGAGTGCAGTGACATGACCTCAGCTCACTGCAGCCTCCACCTCCAAGATTCAAGCGATCATTCTGCCTCAGCCTCCGGAGTAACTGGGATTACAGGAGTGCATCACCACACCCAGCTAATTTTTGTATTTTTCTTTTTTAGTAGAGACAGGGTTTCACCATGTTGGCCAGGCTGGTCTCAAACTCCTGACCTCAGGTGATCCACCCACCTCGCCCTCCCAAAGTGCTGGGATTACAGGCGTGAGCCACGGCATCCGGCCTCCCTGTCAATTTTTAACTGTGTATCATCTCATTTATGCATTTTCCTCTATCCATGTGCCTTCCTCCACTTCCACACTTGACATCCTCTTGGATTCACTGTCCCCCTGGGGATCCCTGGGCTCTGACCAGGCATTCCTACTGCTTTCCCACCTCCAACATGGGCTCCCAAGTTCACTCAGCTCCCATTTCCCTGGGCCCAGCTCAGGCCTTACTCCTTCCACAGAGCCCCAGAATTGGCCAGGTGGAAGTGCCATCTCCTTCCCTCCACTGACCTCTCAGCGTGCAGGGTCCCTTACTAGAGTCACTCACTGTGCACATGACAGCTGAAAGCAGCTGCGAGACATGGGCTGTACCTTACTCATCTTTGCATTCCTCCTCCCAAGTGCCACAGCCCCGGCACACAATTTGTGTTCAGAAAATGTTAACTGAAGGATGCACGCCACCCAACAACAAAAATTCAAATGGCCCGATTAGAAGGTTGGCAGAAGACTCGAATATATATTTCTCCAAAGGAGACATATAAATGGCTAAAAAGCATGTGAAAAGATGCTCAACATCATTAGTCATTAGAGAAATACCAATCAAAACCACAATGAGATACCACTTCACACCCACTAAGGTGGTTATAATAATATTTTTTGAAAAACAGAAAATAAGTGTTGGCAAGGA